CATATATGGCTACTGTTGCTTGTTGAATATGCTGGTTGTTATGTGAGCTAGTGAGATATCATAGTCTCTATGGATGTACGTGGTTGCTTTCCGTTTTTAATGAGCCTTGCTTATGTCGGTTCGCTAGGGAGAACCGACTTAGTGGTAATGGTAGAGACGTCGACCCTCATCAACTACCCCCGACCAACCTCTGATAGCCCACCTCCACAGAATGGGTCTACAGACATCGAGAGTAGGACACACCTCTTGATTCGACATTGGTTTCCCTACAAGGCATCCCTGCCCACCAGGACTGACACGGTATCACCATGCACCCAAACAACCCCTTACCACTCTCCGGCCCGAGCAAGTAGCATCCATCCCACATCAACTCTCCCGCAGGAAAGACACACGTCCCGTCCCCACCCAAATCCGTCAAGAGGATCATCGCTAGCTGATATGACGAACCGTATATATAGACATGCTGAATGAGCATAGTATGGAGATCGGAGGAGAGCTTGCCACCCTCCCCATGGCTAGATTTTCATATATGCTGTGACCTGGCTGATAATTGGGCGGACAGTCACTCCCCTCGGGAGAGGGCAATCAATGCTGTTCCGCCAGGTATATCATCTTCAATCTTGTGGGACCCTGGATCCAGTTTCCATCATGTGGAGCCATCTATAAACTGGGCTTGCTATTGGAAGATGCTCGTATCATCTCCAATAGCAAGTTGCCACAGATGTTTCGGTTAAAAAAAAAAAAAAAAAAAAAAAAAAAAAAAAAAAAAAAAAAAGAGCTCTACCCACTGAGCTATTGAGGTCATTAGTCTGTAAAGGCGCTATGCCAGGCTCGGGACAAGTACGTGGGGTGCAACCTACACCAACCAATTGTGCTCAGGGGAAATCGTGGGCGGACAAAGTCAAAACCGCAACCTCCCTGTTGCAACACCGGAGCTCTGCCCACTGAGCTACCATGCACTTAAGCGCTTACCAAGTGGCCGTCTCGAAGGTAAGACGCCAAGCATGCCACAGACACTATCGTGGGGGCAATGGGAGTTGAACCCACAACCTCCTGAGTGCCGCTTGAACGCCTTACCAATAGAACTACACCCAGTTGGCCAAACCACCCCTCGCTCAATCAGACTACCTTCTTCCCCCGAATCCAGCGTACCTTCTTCCCCCGAATACAACGTACGGTCCTTATACCTGTACCTAGACTTAAAGATGCCTTAAATACAGCTATAATGACCTTTGTATTCGGGGGAAGAAGGTAGCAGAACAATAAGAAGCTAAACAGACCTATAGACTGATAACACCGAAAAGAATTCTGAAAACGCCATAAGACTGCCTATTTCACAATAGCCCTAATATCACGTGAAAATGAGCCCTAACCCTAGCCTAATTTAAACTTGGCACTAAGTAACCCATTAATTCCCAAATCAACAATACAATCAACAACATGCCTTGCCCGAACTGTATTTTCAAACTGTTTTTGTGATTCCCGCGTAGTTTCCTGAAAAAAAGAAAAAAAAAGAAAGATCAGGCTAAAAAAAAAAAAAAACTGATCAGGCTATAAAAAAAAAAAAAAACTGATCAGGCTATAACAGGGGACCCCTGCAAGCATAGCTATCAACCTCTCTGTGGTCCATCAGGCCCTACTCCCTGACCACAACCGATTAATAGGGCGGGGGGCAACGTGCATCCCCTTAGTGCAAACCTGGGGTCCAAACTCTGGTTCAAAGTTCAAACCTTGGATCAAGACCTAACCGGATTCTGACCCTGGTTCAAGCTCTGGTTCAAACTTGAGTCAGACTCTAATTTGGTTCAAACTATAGTGTAGACCTGAGGTCCAAACTCTGGTTTGAAATTTAAAACTTGGACCAAAACATGTTTCCCACCCTTGTGCAAGTCCTGGTTCAAGTCCTGGTTCGAACTCGAATCAAAAACTTTGAGTTGTTCAAACCCCAGTGCAAACCTTGGGTTCAAACTCTCATTCAAAGTTCAAACCACTTGGATCACAACTTCTTTCTGACCCTGGTTCATGCAATGGTTCAAATGCTCAGCATGGTTCAGTCTCTGGTTCCAGCCCTGGTTCAAGACCTGGTTCAAGATCTGGTTCAGTACCTGGTTCAAGACCTTGGTTCAAACCGTGATCCGAACCTGTGCTCGGCTGGAGGGCTGGTTCTGACCCTGCTTCCAGCTGATTACAATTCTGGACTGAACTGTAGATCGGGCATTGTTCAGACCTTGGCTCAAAACCTGGGGCCATGGGTGAAGACCATGTGCGCACACACACGCACACACACACACACACACACACACACACACACACACACACACACACACGCACACACACACACACAATCACAATCACTTGTATGTATAACCTCCTTCCTTTCTCTTATCTCAAGTATTTTATTTTCCATGTCTAAACGAGCACGTCGCAGACGTGCCAAATAGTCAATGCCTGTCCGTTTGGAGTGCCCGCAAGACTATTACGACGGGGGGCTACTGGGTTCAGGATGCCTGTGTCTGTGCGTTCCGAGGGTGATGACAGACCTTTGCCGTGCTGATTCCCTGGCTTGGGCACTGGTGTAAACCTACAATCTGCGGTGTTCTGGTTGTGGTGTGAGTAGGCGATAGGCTGCTTTGGCCCGTGTTGGTCAAGTGGACTGCCTTGTCTTTCCTTCCTCCCCACCTTCTTGCCCATCCGCTTGTCTGGTCTTTCCGCGCTCCCTCCCTGGCTTGTTGCCCATCCGCCTGCCTGGCGGCTTGCCTTGTTGGCTGCCTTGTTGCCTCACTGCTAGTTCCCTCGCTGCTCAGATCCCTTGCTGATTACTTGCCTCAATGCCATGCCGCCTTGCCGCACTGCTGCTTGCCTTCAAGTTGTTGTTTGGTTGCCTTTAGCTGCGCTACCTTGTTGCATCGCTGCCGTGCTGCCTGCTGCCTGCTGCTTTGTTGCCCATCCGCTTGCTTGGTCTTCCTGTGTTGCTCGCTTGTTGGCCTTGCAGTTTGACTCCCTTGTGACTGCTTCCTTGTGTCTTACTTCCTTGCTATCTCTTTGCCTTCCTGCCTGCTGCTTGCCTTGTCGATTGGCTCCCACGTCTACGCTGCTTGTTGCCTCACTGCCCTATCTAGTGCTTACTGCCTCACTCTGTTGCCCAGACTGCTGCTCATACAGCCACCTTGCCACTCGCCTTCTTATCTGGCTGCCCACCCGCCTCCCCCCTGCCCTTCAGCTTACTACGGGCCTTGTTGCCCTGAGGCTCGTGGGCCTTGCTGGCTTGCCGCTGCTCACCTACTCTCCCTGTGACCTCTGGCCTATATGCATATATACCCTGCTGCTGCAGCGTTGCTTGTCGTACAGTGCCTTGCTGCGTTGCCCTTGCCTTGCTGCTTGTATTTCTCTAAAACATTATGTAACTCTTTCATACTGGACTGAGAGTTCTTACAGGCCAATGTTAGGTCATCTGTTATTGCCCCCCTTTGCTGTAACAGTGCGGGATGCGGGAAGTTTGCCGAACGCAGTCCCTAAGTTAACGGGACCTCCTACGAGTTCGGAACACTGTGGGATCCGCGAAAACGCACTTTTTTACTTACTGTATGTAGTGTCGGATCAGACCCTCAATCTCCTTTTTCGGATGTACTGGTGGTTTAAAACAACAACTTTTGAAGGGGAGGGAGCTTCACAGTCCCCGGTGGTAGTCCGGGTGGGCTGGAGTTGGGAGGACTCCAATGTGCGGCGAGTTGGTTACGTACTATTTCGCTACTATTCGCTACTATTCGCTACTATTCGCTAAACACAAGCCCACAGAAAAAAAAAAGGGAACGAGTGTGATGTGTGAGTGCATGCCTGTGCGTATTTGGGATTTTGTGGCTGGACGTTGGCACTGGTAGCCAGCCTCCGGTGACCAGGGGCCAAGTCCCACTAGCAGCCTTGCTTTTCTTTCCTTAACACCTGAATCTGGACGTGTTTGTGGAGATGTGCGGTTGAGAAAACGCAACACGATTTCTGCACATCTCCACAAAGGCATCCAGATTCAGGCATTGAGGAAACTCAACGCTGGTTGTGAGACTTGGCGGCAGTTGAGCAGTGCTACAAAAGAGCATTGAACTTAGTCAGTTAACTGTACCAGGTGCATTAATTTAGGGGAAGAAGATCTGAAATGGTAGCATCATAACGAAACCACCTGGAAAACCGAGCTTCGTAAAAAGTGTTGTGCTCGTGTTTAAAACCAGCGAAGGTCTTGGAACAAGAAAAAAAAAACGGAAAAAAAAACAAGGAACAAATAAGGCCACGTCAGTTTTTGAGAAGGAGCTGCTCATATCACACTCCCTCTTTTTTTTTTTTTTTTTTTTTTTTTATCACACTCCCTCTAGAGGGGCCTGTCCGGATTTTTTAAACAAAATGTCAAAAAAAAAGGGTTTCGATTTTCGAAAATTCTTTTTCCCTTCCAAAAAACTCAAAACCTGATGTAGCAATACACTCCTCCCTATTTGTTTCTTGTTCTTTTTCCTCCTCCCTGTTTTTTTTTTTTTTTTTTTTTTTTTTTTTTTTTTTTTTTTTTTTTTTTCTGGGCCCTTTCCTGGTTTTAAACAAAGCACACCACTTCAAATAATTTATGAAGCTCGGTTTTCTGGGCGGTTTCGTAATGATGCAATAATTTCAGATCTTCTTCTGAGGCTCGCTCTAATGCACCAATCAGCAGCCTAGCTCAGTTGGTAAGGCATGCAAGTGGCATTCAGGAGGTCATGGGTTCAAACCTCATTGGCCTCATGCACCTTCCTTGGCGCCTGTCCCCCAAGTGGCATTGAGCAGAGACCGTTGATGTCCATAGGGCGAGGTGATCGGAGGGGAGGCACAGTGACTGGCCCATCGAAGAAGCTGCTCGGCCCTGATGCTACCGACTGACCCCTGGCTGGTATCACCCACCTGTAGCAGGTGTCGAAGAAGCTCGAGGACCGAAGAAGCGAAGAAGCTCGGTCCTAATAATACTGGCTGACCAAAATATCGCCAACCTGTACAACCTGCAGGTGTCACACCTGCTGGTGGGTGCAGCTCCCGCATATTCCGTCGTTGGAGGTGGCCGCGGATGTGGCTGCTATACTGGCTGACCAAAATATCGCCCACCTGTACCACCTGTACCAGGTGTCGCTCCTGTGTCGCTCCTGCTGGTGGGTGCAGCCCGCATGTTCCCTCGTTGGAGGCTTGAGCGCGGATGTGGCAACTACGGGGTTCCCCGTAACATGATGATGACAACAAAAAAGGCCTGAAAGGCTGTCCAGATTTGACAGGCAATTGAATTGGTTGGGCTTAAAAGAACAGTATTAGCCTTTTTTTAAGTTTGTTTTAAATAAAAAAATAATGCACCAATTATGGGTACTAAGTTCAATGCTCTTGTTTACCACTGCTCTGTCACAGGCGAGTTTCGAATAAGCAAAAAAAAAAAAAACAAAAAAAAAAACAACATAAAACGACAGTCTGCACACCCAGGCGGCCAGCAATGCCTCAAATTAGCCCGGACGGGCCGGCCAGGCCACGTCCGGGCAAAGTCCCGGTCAAAATCCCGGGCAGTCCCAGGCAAAAGTATCTGAAAAACAGTTATGTCATGCAGAATTGCAAACCGAACATCTTAGCCCCCTTTAAGCCCCTTTGAGCCCTTTCCAAAACCCCTTATACCCCATGGACCCCCTTTGGTGAGATATCACCAAACACAAAGTTAAGGCCGGATTTGGGCACGTCTCAGTGGGCGCAAATTTGCCCCACTGTCAAGAAAACGAATTAAAAACATTGACCCCCTTTTTGGTGTCGCCCGGGTACCCCGGCTGGGTCCCCCCGTGCAAGTTCGCCGGGTGACTCTGGTAAATATAGATTCAAATACCTTATCAAAGTAGCTCCGCATTTTGGAACCTCGTGAACTATATGGCTCAGGATGATCGAATCCGTATATGTGAACACTCTTGCAGATCTGCAGACCAAGCGAGTTCAAGGAGTCAGTTTCGGAAAAAAAGACTTGATAAGTCTGTGTGTGTCTGTATGTGTGTGTTCACTGTGTTGGCATGTTCGCTATACACAACTCCACCAAAAAAAGAGCCTGACTGCGCACTTTCACCAGCTCATTAGGAGGTTGGACCTTGACAGTCTGCCCAGGATGCATTTGACTGACTGGTGGATAAGGACTCACCATGTTGCCTAGAATTAGTCGTACCCCTGAGAGAGAAAAGTGGTCTACTTTACTCCCACCTACCCTGCAATCCTAGCAGACTGCCGGTCCAATGTGTGTGTGTGTGTGTGTGTGTGTGTGTGTGTGTGTGTGTGTGTGTGTGTGTGTGTGTGTGTGTGTGTG